AAAACGGACCAGCCGCGCGGTGGATTTCCGCGGGCACTATCTTCATTTTGGTTGGTACCGGAATGTGTTTTCTTTTGTTTTCTTTTTCTGACTCTTTCGTATGTGGCGTTTAGCAGTAAAGGGCGATAACTTGTATTGCACGTGAATAGTCGCAAGTGAGGCGCTGTTGCGGACTTGCATAGATCGCTGTTAATTGCTTGTTGAAATCCATGAGTGTTTCCGCCGCCACATGCGCGAGTTTCACGCGTCATCGCTTGTTTTGTGTTCCCTGTGTGGCCTGTGTGGTTGCAGAATAAGGGAGGGTGGCGCCGTGTCGGAGAGTCTTGCGCCCGGTCTGCAGATATTCTGCACCGTGACAGAGTTATGGTCGTCCTCTCATGATTGAGGTGGAACTATTTCGATCTTGCAGTTATTGGATGACGGAGGGCGTTGCCTCTTGGGTGTTGTTGGACTCTATTTACGGGAGGAGTTTGGTCGTGTTTCCACGATGTTGCATGTACCATGTGTCTGATTTGTTGATTGAATGCTGGACGATCGCCACGTGTATGTGCTTCTAGGCAACCAAGTGACTGAGTAGTCTGGTGAATAAGACCATGTAACGAGTAAGGATACGCCGGGAGTTCGAATCTCACCAGGCGTCGCCTTTGTTAAAGGAATAAAGTAAGGAAAGCGCCTTTCCGAGAAGGGGAAAGCGACGCGCGTTGTTTGGCACACTGGAGAGGGCATATGAAGTCGTCCCCAACTACGAGGCATGTGTTGCGTAAGAAAGGGCATACGGCGTGTAGACTATCAGTGTTATTCGAGGAGCGGACAATGGATATCAGGTGCATTGTAGGTGGCTATTTTGGCCAAGTTTGTCGTACGACCTCACCAGAAGGGTAGGGNGGGCATACGGCGTGTGGACTATCAGTGTTATTCGAGGAGCGGACAATGGATATCAGGTGCATTGTAGGTGACTATTTTGGCAAAGTTTGTTGTACGACCTCACCAGAAGCGTAGGGGCGTGCTTGATGATTTGTTTTTGTGCTGCGCGGGGAGGACCTTGTCGAGTCAGCCGAGCGTGGCGTAGAGAGCGAGCCGGGGGCGGTGGTAGATATTGTCTTGCCTTGATGTTGCAGTACGGCCGTTGGAATCTTTCATGATATGAACGGCGTGAAGGCGTTGAGATTTGTAAGGGGTTTTGATCCGATGGCGGGTTTCCCCTTGTTTCTGATTTGCGTTGTTTCAGGTGCTTTTCGGATGTACTCTTCGACGCACGAGTGGTGGTTATTCACTGGCATAAAGAACCAAGGGAGGGTGTTCGTGCGTGGAGGTAGATTAGTCGGATTGTACCAAATCACTGCCGGTTTCGTGTACCGCAGATGGGATTGCCTTGAGGGGCGGCTAGGAGAGACCTTGAGATACGAGTTGCGGGCCCCCTTTTCGACTGGCTTTGAGCCTGGCACTCTTCCTCCCTCCTTCTCCCTCATGTCCCCCTACGATAATACATGCCGTTAACAACGCTCTTTGGACTCTGGAGGTCACACAACAAGGGCATACCACCAGGAAGACAGCGGGACAGAGTAGTTTCTCTAGGGAGAGCCAGTGGTGGTCTCTGGGAAGAGAAGGAGAGGAAAAGAGTGAGAGACGAGGGGGGAGGTGAGGTGTGCACAGCACACCGATCCTGAGCCCTGTCGACGCAGAACCAGCCTGACGTGGCGTAGTCTGCGCGGGCGCGGTGACGCGCCCAGCATCGGCACGTCCGGGGCATTATCTCCCCGGACGTGAGAAGACAAGACAATATGCCGGGCAGTGATGTCCGGGCGGTTGCAGTATGTGCAGTAGCCGGTCATGTGCATACAGTGACATACGTGCGCATGCGGGCCGCACGGAAAGATCCGCAGAACCAGCGGAGGAACAGTTAGACAGAGGGCCTCAAGTGGAACCCATATGGCAGACAGACCAGTGACTCACATAATGCCGCATAAAAATGATTTTTGAGCCGCATGACAAGTGGACGTACTTACTGGCAATAACATGCCTGTAGCAGTACAGTACTGGGCCCTCTATAGTGCCGGTTGAATAGTGCCGGTGCCCGGTATTGTGCCTGTAAAATCTCTCGACACAGACGGCGCCCTCAATAGTGCCGGTCCGGCACTACTGAGGGATGGCCCGTTATAGTGCCGGTTGGGCGCCACGTCAGCCCGCAATAGTGCCGGTTGAATACCTGCTGAAGGACACACACACACAGCCTCCCCCATGCTGCCCCCTCACGGGGTCCCAGNAAATGCCGCATAAAAATGATTTTTGAGCCGCATGACAAGTGGACGTACTTACTGGCAATAACATGCCTGTAGCAGTACAGTACTGGGCCCTCTATAGTGCCGGTTGAATAGTGCCGGTGCCCGGTATTGTGCCTGTAAAATCTCTCGACACAGACGGCGCCCTCAATAGTGCCGGTCCGGCACTACTGAGGGATGGCCCGTTATAGTGCCGGTTGGGCGCCACGTCAGCCCGCAATAGTGCCGGTTGAATACCTGCTGTAGGACACACACACACAGCCTCCCCCATGCTGCCCCCTCACGGGGTCCCAGTTCATGGAAGGCCAAGATGCCCGTCACACGCGACGTCCTTCGAAGCTTCGGCCGTTCCGCCAGGACAACCCTGCTGGCTGACACCGCAACTTCTGCAGCAGTGAGGGCGAAGGTCGAGGACTTCAGGGCCGGCGAGAAGTGGGCAAAGAACTTCGTGAAGCGCAACAACATCCACAGCGTGCGACTTCATGGCGAGGCTGGTAGCGTCAACATGGCGGCTATCAAGGAGGGCATGGACGAAGTCAGGGCCCTTTGCGCGAAGTACCCGGCTAGGTTCATCTTCAACGTCGACGAGACAGGCCTCCAGTGGAAGCTCCTGCCCAGGCGCACGTACCTTTCCACCTCGGAGGATCGGAAGACGGCGCGGGGTTCAAAGAGCATGTACTTCAAGGACCGACTGTCTGCCTTCATGTGCTGCAACGCCGACGGCACTGCGAAGGTTGACATGGCCATCATCGGGAGGGCAAAGGAACCCCGCTGCTTCAAGAGCGCGCCTTCACCTCTCAAGTACTACTCGCAAACCAACGCGTGGTCCGACTCTGCGACGTTCCTCAAGTGGTGGCTTCAAGTCTTCCTCCCGTTCGTTCGGCGCTTCACTCACGAACCTGTGCTGCTGCTGATGGACGGCTGTGCCTCTCACGGTGATCTCGTGGATGACCGGGGGCAAGTGACCGTCAAGTTCTACCCTCCGAAGTGCACCTCCGTACACCAGCCCATGGATCTGGGGATCATTGCCAAGACGAAAGTGGTCTTCAGGAAGGAGTTGCTCGACGTGAAGACATCAACTATGTTGGTGGCTGACACACTTCGCGCCCAGGCGAAAGCCCGCAAGATGAAGGCCGGGACAATGGGGCTGGCGCAAGGGCACCAACCTCATCTGCGGGACGCCGCAGAACTTCTCAAGAAAGCATGGGCCAGCATCACCGCCCAGGATATCGCCAGGTGAGGTTTGAACGTGTGGTATCGCTTGTTTTTTTTTTCAGCTCCCTCAAGTGCGCGTGGCTTTGGTGGTGCGATACGTGGGGACAGGCGGGGACAGCTGTACGGACAGTGTGGCATAGGTTTCTTCCTTTTTTTTTGACTGCGTATTGCAGCATCCGGATATGCCCATTTTNTTTTTCTTGTCACATCCAAGGGGGTGCGCCAGGCAGACATTACAGAATTGCTGCTACGTTGCGAGGGCGGGGAGAACAGCTGTGGTAGAGTACAGTACTTATGTAATGGTCATTTATTTTCCGTGCGGTGCGCTTCCTGTCGTGCTTGTGTTCTTGGGGTTGTTTTGATTCTTTCTTGCGACATCCAAGGGCGCCAGGCAGACGTTACAGAATTGCTGCTATCATACGTTGCGAGGGCGGGGAGAACAGCTGTGGTAAATTAGAGGTGTGATACATATGATCGTTTATTTTCGTGCGGCGCGCTCCCTGTCGTGGTTCTCTGTTGTCTTTTTTTTTCTGGCAACATCGAAGGAGGGCAACGAAGACTTAGACGTTCACTAATAATACACATATGCATACATATTCGATCCGCGATCCACATCGTTCTCTGTTGGTCCCGCAAAGCTTGAGCGCTGCATCATGAAATCAACACCTCCTCAGTAGTGCCGGACCGGCACTACTGAGGCTTCGAATATCCCTCAGTAGTGCCGGACCGGCACTACTGAGCCACTGTTCTGAATACTGCCGGTGCCCGGTATAGTGCCGCTATTTTCTCGGGACACTACCCGGCACAATAGAGGGCCCAGTACTGTAAGGGGTGGTTTTATTTTCAGGCCGAAAAAATACGTATTCGGTTACGAAACCGTATTTTCTTGAAACATATGGAGGTGTTCCTCTACGTTTCCGTAAGAGGAGTGGCCAAAATCGGGTACACCCAGCCCCAATCCGGCCATTATCGGGTACACTTGTTTTTCTCAGTCGGCAGCACCCTCCTGGAGCCATCTGATTGGCCGACGACCGCCCCTACCCGGCCCTGGCCCTATTCCCACCGGGTGCACCCGATTTTGGCTACTCACCCCCCGGAGGAATACTCGATCTTACTCTCGCCTACCCGAAAATGGCTGGGCTATTCGACCAACAGACCAACAGCAGACCACGCTCACGAACACACGTCCCCAACACCCCGCACTCGAGTTCCGACGCTTCTGACGGCGGTCGGAGGCGGACCTAACACGACTGACGCGGCGGAACTCTCGTTTGAAGTTAGGCCTGTCCTCCATCGGCCGTTTTATTTTCGATTTAGATACACAAACTTTACTTCTATACTAATTTCAAGTAATTCCACCTTCTTATTCTCCGTCATACAAGCAAAACGGCCGATGGAGGACAGGCCTATTTGAAGTGGATGTCTCTCCTGCAAGCCTCCTCCTGCAACCCACCGCCGACGGCGGAACTTTCTCGGTTCTGGTAGATCTCGCTCCTGCAAGTAGATCTCGCTCCTCAACCCACCAAGTCTCTCGTGGTTAATCTCGGCACTCGTGCCTGAACGGTAGACTGGCATCGGCAGAACATGAGCGATGAAGTAATGAACACCGCGGACCTCGCGCAAGGCGCGTGCTACTTCACCACCAGCCATCTTAGGACAGCGGTGGGTCAACTGTTCGCGGCAGACCGCCGTTGGTTCGTTGCGGGCAAGAACACGGCTGTGGAGGCCAGGTGTTGGAGAGCAGCGGTCCTCCCCTTCGTACTGCCGCCGGAGCAGTCGGTGTGTGCGGCGTCAATCGTGTGCACCTTCCACACTCCGTCGGCACCCTTGTAGGCGCGTACTTGTGCTTTGCAGCCTCCAAAAAACCAGCTACACATGGTGATGTGATCCCGGGCATCCTCTCGTACGTGAGGCTTGCGCGTGAAGCTTCTACGTAAGGTGTAGACTACTCCCCAGCCACGTCTGTGGCACCCACGTACAGGCAGAGAGGACCGTTTTCAGCATCCCGGCACTACCCACCAACGACTGCTGCTGCTGTGCGGGCTCTACTGCTGTAGAGTGTACATCCTTGCTTTTTCGGTGCACAGCAGCAGAGCCGGACAGGTTCCAGCAGCAGCAGCAGCACCGCCGTATGCTCCCCGAACGCTGCCGCAACTCCACGGCNGTCCACGAACGCTGCCGCAACTCCACGGCCGCCCTCCACCCGGCCATCCCGGACCNGCACTCACGACTGTTGCTGTGCGGGCTCTACTACAGCTGTAGAATGTACATCCTTCCTTCTTCGGTGCACAGCAGCAGAGCCGGACAGGTTCCAGCAGCAGCAGCAGCACCGCCGTATGGTCCACGAACGCTGCCGCAACTCCACGGCCGCCCTCCACCCGGCCATCCCGGACCAAACTGTGAAGAAATCGACTATCTTCTGTGCACAAAGCAGATTCAAATGTTTGTTGTGCGTTGTTCTTTCTCACACTCTCTCAGCACGGCGTACACACCATCGGCTACACTGCCTCCCCGTATCAGATGCTACCTTACCTGCCACACACACTGCTGTACAGCCGTCTTGCGAACAGCAGTCTAAGTACAGCAGTACCACCAGACATCATGCATCAATGGCCCTTGCCACCCGCCCCACCACGGGATGAAGACATCGAGACACTCTGCACTGCGTTCCACAATGACAGCAGCATCACATCAGCTCTCTTTACTGCTGTCCCGCTCTACTACCCATACCAAGTTCCACATCAACGAACCGCTCCAACAGCAGTTATTCGAGCGAAGCGAGATTTCTAATCTTGCCTGAGAGGGCTCAGCGCAATATAGGGGCCGATGCAGGAAAAAAAGTGCGTGCGTGTGTTGTGTTCGCTTAAACTAGGTTTTAGAGTACAGGACTTGATTTGTGACTACAGGGCGCACTTTTTTTTTTTACACAGCAGAGCAGCAAACAGCAACAGCAGACAACACGCGCTCAGCGAGCAGACTGAACACACACGCACAGCAGACAACACGCGCTCAGCGGGCACAGCGACACACCAACAGCGCAGAGCGGACACAGCCACAGCGGCCTGCATGGCATGGCAATTGCATGATGAGTAGACGTCCGTTGGGGCCGATTGACCCGAACTCCCTCCGTGAGGCAGAGACGCACACAGACTCGCGGCGCAGACAAAGCCACGGGGAGAGGGAGCCCCTAGGCAGCCCACAGCTTGACCGGGCGAGAGCTGCTGCTCGTCAGAGGACTGCCGCCAGGCGTGCGGCGGAGACCGATGGAGCACGGGCAGAAAGGTGCGTTGCGTGTGCGTGCGTCTGGGCGGCGATTGCCGGAGAGG